GGATGGGCAATTGGCCTGATTCACCATTGGCTTCTCTGATGTTCTTATGACTCTACAGCATTATACCCTGCTGAGGCCTATCCTCAAACCCTGTCCTCCCTGGGCTCCAGTCCACCCCCAGATCTGCAGGATTTAACTTCAGTGTCATTGCAAGGTCGTCCCATCTCGTAATACATGTTCAGAAATGGCATCCCCTGTGCAAAAACTGCTTGTAGTACCTTTTCCCATTTCTTCCCCCTCCCTCTTAACAAGTACACCTGAACGTTAAGGCATGTGCTGCTGACAGGGTCACCAGGCGTGGCTTCAAAGATGCTGGTACCCTGGTCTGGGCGTGAGGACAGTGGTGGAGCTAGCAAGTGCAGGACCTCCATATTCTGTCCAGGTTAGAACCAGAGTTCAGCTGGGCAGGTGAATGGTGGGTTTTGGCAGGTTGCACAGCAGGCTTTAGACCTGACTTGTCTGCAGAGGTCAGTAGAAGATTGGCTGATTTGCAGGTGAGCTTTGCTTGGTGTAGTGGGTAAGTGTGCGGACTCTAATCCGGGAGAACCGGGTTTGATTCCCCACTCCTCCACTTGCACCTGGTGGATGACCTTGGGCAAGCCATAGTTCTGACAAGAGCTGTCCTTGAAAGGGCAGTTTCTGTCAGAGCTCTCTCAGCCCCACCTACCTCACAGGGTGTCTGTTGTGGGGAGGGGAAGGGAAAGGAGTTTGTAAGCCACTCTGAGTGAAGGGCAGGGCATAAATCCAATCTCCTCCTCCTCTTCTTCCTCTTCCCCTCCTCCTCTTCCTTGTTCTCCTCCTCCTTCTTGTTCTCCTCCTCCTTTCTCTCTGGCCCTGGCCGCCAATAACAAAATAACTTGGAAATTGTAGCCACAGCATGTGGTGCTAGCACTTTGCTTGGGTTGTTTTCAAGGGAGGTTAGTCAGACTAGTATAGGATAGGTTCTTTAGGAGCTACCAGCCAAAATAGCTAAACAGAACCTCCAGTTTCAGAAGCAATGTATCTGTGAATACCGTTTGCGAAGGGGGATAATCAGCAGTGTAAGTTTGGTTGCTCCCCCCGCCCCTGCTTGTTGTCTTCCTGGAATTGTCCGGCTGTTTGCTTTGAAAACAGGATTCGGGGGCTGGAATGGATCTCTGGATCTGATCCGTCAGTATTCTTCTTAGGTTCTCGGATGTCCTTGGAACAATCAGTCGGGCCTTCGACATCCTGCTGCCTTTGTGAGTTTGCAGAGTGGACTTTTGCTGTGGAACTGGCTCTCGGATCCTGACTTCGAGAAGCCAGATTTCAGGCTTTGATGTTGGAGGCTTGGCCAGGGTTGCCAACTCTAGCTTCGGGAATTCCTGGAGATTTGGGGGTGTTACCTGGGGAGGGTGGAGTTCAGGGAAGGGAAGGGAAGGAGCTCAGGGAAGGGAAGGGAAGGGAAGGAGCTCGGCATGGATGTGATCCCTTAGCGTCCACCCTCTGAACCTGCCATTTCCTTTGGGGGAAATGGGTCTCTGTTGTCTGGAGATCAGCCGTAATTCCAGGAGCACTCCAGGCCCCACCTGGAGATTGGAAACCCTAGTGTGGCCCTGATGATATGAGTGTGTGTGTGTAGCATGGAGGGGTTCTTTCTCCCTGAGTGGAGCAGCGACAGTAATTTATCTCTTTCCTATTTTAACAATGCTGTCAACTCCTTGTACTGCAGCTGGGCTGCGTCAGCGGTTTCCCCATCAAAGGCCCAGTTCCAGGGATTTTTGGAGTCCTTTGCCTCCGATTGGCTGGAAAGGCAAATTGGTTTATGAATGGATGCTTCCCCGTTGCAGGGAGGAGAGACATTCCCTGCAGGTATTATTAGGCGATGCAGAGAGGCTAGAAAGAGAGAGAGAGAGAGAGAGAGAGAGAGAGAGAGAGCCGTATGGTTCTTGCCGCCGCCTCCTCCTCGCTCCAGAGCGAGAGCAGGCATACATGATGGGTGGGGGCGGGGGAGTCCCTGCGGGAAGGTCACCTTGGAGCGATGCTGAGAGGCAGAGGGAGGGGAGCGGCGGCTGCAGCCTGCCTTCTAGGCTGGGGGGGGGAGAAGTCCTGGGGGGAGTCTTTCGAGGATGCCTGCTGGTGTGGCGAGAACAACTGGAGTGCAGCCCCCCAATCCCCTTTCACACACACCGTGCCTTTTCTGCCCCGTGGACAAGCACGCCTCCCTCTGTTTTCTGTCTCTGTTCCTCTCTTTGCCCCGTTTCCGTCCTGAGCCCTTGGATGCACCTTGAAGCTCTACAGGGTCTAGCCTTGCCAACTCCTGCTTGGGAAATCCCTGGAGGTGAGGGGGTGGAGCTAGGGTCGCCAGCCTCCTGGTGGTAGCTGGAGATCTCCTGGAATTACAATTGGCTACAGGGATCAGTTCCCCCTGTAGCAAATGTCAGTTTTGGAAGGTAGTCTTAATGGCATTATACCCTGCTGAGGTCCCGCCTCCCCAGACTCCACCATCAGAATCTCCAGGAATCCCCCAAGCGAGAGCTGGGAACCCTAGGTGGAGCCTCGAGAGGGCGTGGGAGACCTCAACAGGGTATGATGCCATAGGGAACACCTTCCGGTTTCCAGCCATTTTCTCTAGGGGAGCGGATAGCTGTAGGCTGGAGATCAGCTGTCATTCCGGGAGATCTCCAGGAGGTTGGCAACCCTGACAGGGCTGGTTCTCTGGCAAAGCTGCTCAAGCGTCTGCCTGGGGCAGCCCAGCGAGGAAGGCACAGCTGCCTTCCGGGGCTTGACTTGGTCCTTGCCCTCAATGGCATTTGAGTCCAGTGGCACCTTTGAAGACCAACAAAGTTTTATTCTGGGTATAAGAAGTGCACGCACACTTCTTCAGATACATTGAAACAGACTTTCCTCGAGCCTTATATATAGATAGAGAAGGGGGAGGGTAGTTGCCAGGAAGGGTTAGTTCCTTTCTGGGCTGGTGGCAGCACAGACCTGAGAGGTCGGGTTGTCGGACACATGCCTGGAATCCCTGGGAGACTCTAGGGGCAGGACGTGGGGGAAAGGATGTCGTCCACCTGTTGGCGTCCCTTCTAGCTAAAAAAAAAAGGATGTGACTATTTCGGCTTTTGCCTATCTAGCCGCGCGTGCATGCATTAAGTGCCATCCGGTTGCTTCCAACTTACGGCGACCCTATAAATTAACGACCTCTGAAATGTCCTCTTGTTAAGAGCCTTGCTCAGGTCTTGCAAACGGAGGGGCTGTGGCTTCTTTGATTGAGTCCATTCATCTCGTGTTGGGTCTTCCTCTTTTCCTGCTGCCTTCTCTTTTTCTCAGCATTATTGCTTTTTCCAGCGACTCTTCCCTTCTCCTGATGGGACCAAAATACAGTAGCCTCGGTTTAGCCATTTTGACTTCTAGGGGGAGTTCGGACTTGATTCTGTATCTGTAGAGATCATTAAACTCCTAGAGCATCGGTGATGTTATGTCTGGGGTTTTGCTGGATGTGACATTAAACTTCTAGAGCATCGGTGATGTTATGTCTGGGGTTTTGCCGGATGTGACATTAAACTTCTAGAGCATCGGTGATGTTATGTCTGGGGTTTTGCCGGATGTGACATTAAACTTCTAGAGCATCGGTGATGTTACGTCTGGGGCTTTGCCAGATGTGACATTAAACTCCTAGAGCATCGGTGATATCGTGTCTGGGGTTTTGCTGGACGTGACATCAATGCAAAGCAACCCCCACATTTTGCCCCGCTGGTCATCTGAGCACTGGTGGGGAAGTAGGGGGCTTTTGTAGGGGGTCGTACTCTGAAAATGGGCAAATGGCACCTCTGCCAAGTGGAGATGGATGTACCTTGTTTGGAGCAACAAGATGCTCTGAACTGGCACAGGCTTTTGGAGAGAGGTTCAGTTTCTTTTTCTGTCTCCACAAAGGTTGCTGACCGCTTTCTTGTGCTCCTTGAATAACCTCACTTTTCTTCCTGGTAGCCTGGCTCAATTTCCTGGACAGTGAGAGTCAGAGATGCTGTGGGGCACACACTTGTTCGGGGCTGGCCTCCATCAGGAATGTGAGGAGGTTTCTCTGAATCCAGGACCCTAGCAATGACTTGATGAGTACTGATTCAGAAATAAAAGAGACGGGTATTTTCCTTTCATGATTCATGCACGTCGAGGGGTGTTGTACGTTTGTACTGGGCCCAAGGAGAGTATGCTTGAACCTGGTGCTGTGTTCATGAAGGCATGCCCCTTCTGTGCTAGCAAAAGGCACAGCGTTGGGTCCATGGTCTGAATGGAGGGTGTACATGGACGCTGGCCAATCAACCCTTATTCAGCTAAATAGAGTCATGGAATCATAGAGTTGGAAGGGGGCCATACAGACCATCTAGTCCAACCCCTGCCCAATGCAGGACCAGCCTAAAGCATCTCTGACAAATATTCGATAGATATGCAGCGCAGTTGAAAGCCAGTTGCCAGCTTGTGTTCCGTACTACGCTTTGTCACTGAGTTCCAAGCCTAACATCCTGTAGCCTAAACACTGACCACATACGCTACTATTGGAGAGTAAAAAGTGTGCATCTCTGGGAATGAGGTGCTAATGTGTTAAGCCCTAGAGCCTAGCTAAGAGTCTGAACCTTGCTCTTAGGCTAGAAGGGGATTCTAGTTAAAAGAGGTTCTGGTAGCTTATTGTTCTGAAATCCAGAGAGGGTAGCCTATCTCTCTGGGTTATTGTTTAATGTATTGTAAAAGTATAGGATTCCCTCTCATTCCTGGACAGGCTTGAGGGGCAGGATCCTATACAGTTCCGTACTATGCTTTGTCATAATTAAGAATGCCATTTGCTGTATTAGTCCCCCACACCCCCTCCGAAGCCATAAGTGTTTTGATTATCGGAGAGATTTCTCAACCTTATAGAAGACAGCTGCTACCTGGAATTCCATCGGTATAATCCAGTTCTCCATCGGCCCTGAGAAGTTTTGCGGTAAGCAGAGTGGCCGACTTTTCTCACATGCTTGGGTTTTGTTTTTTTCCCCCTTTCCCAGGTGCCCACGGCTTAAGGGAGGAACCCGAGTTTGTGACGGCTCGTGCCGGGGAGAGCGTGATCCTGGGATGCGACGTGATCCATCCGCTGACGGGCCAGCCCCCTCCGTATGTGGTGGAGTGGTTCAAGTTTGGAGTGCCTATCCCCATCTTCATCAAGTTTGGGTTCTACCCACCACATGTGGACCCAGGATATGCCGGTGAGCTTTAAACCCCCAGAAGCATTGTCAAAGGGCCTATTTGCTTCATGGACATCGATTGGCTTTGTACTGGTTTATCTAAGATGGCGTTCCCCCAAAGGAATCTGGGAATTGTAGTTTGGTAGGAACACTCCTGCAGAGATTTCTGACACCTCCTCATAGTTCCCAGGATTCCCTGTGGATAAAGAAGTGTCATACCAGTGTTAAGCCTGTGTTGCAAGCAATGCTCCCTCTAAGCTGTAGAGTCTTGTGAGCACAAATTCTACTTTGTGAGCTACTGGCATTCAAGTTGTGAGCGAGTGATTTGGCTGCTGCAGAAATTAGTTTGCTTTGGAGCCATCCTTCCTGAGCAAAGGCAAAAAACGTCTGAGCCGGGGGCTGAAAAACTGTGAGCTAGCTCACACTAACTCAGCTTAGAAGGAACACTGGTTGCAAGTATCCCCATGAAGACAGGGGTGGGGGGGGTGCAGCTAAGTAATACAATGCACACTTTGTGTATTCGTGTACCAAAGACCTCCAGTTAAAAGATTTATGATGGAAAGTGTTGGGAAGGCTCTGAACTACATGCGCTACGTTTGCCGTTGGTTTGCCCACAGTGGGTGAATCCCTGCCCTTGGCCTCAATTTCCCTGCCCTTGAGAAACTGGGGTTCATGAGGAAGAATGGCCAGAAAATGGCATCCATAGTGACACTCTAGGAATTTCCCCATGATTGGGGAAGAGTCCTAGAGAGTCACTTAGGAGGGCTCTACTGGTAGCAGGAGCTCCTTTGCATATTAGGCCACACACCCCTAGTGTAGCCAATCCTCCAAGAGCTTACAGAGCTCTTCTTACTGGGGCTACTGTAAGCTCTTGGAGGATTGGCTACACTAGAGGGGTGTGGCCTAATATGCAAAGGAGCTCCTGCTACCAGTAGAGCCCTCCCCAAAGTCTCCCCAACCTAGGCACTGCCTTCAAAGCTCCCCTGGTATTTGGTGAGGCATTGCTGGCGACCTGAACCTGTTATGAATCTATCGCATTTTGTTGTTATAAGGTAAAGAGGCCATGGTTTTCAGTGGGTAGAGCACATGATTAGAATCTAGAAGGCCCCAGTTCCAATCCTGCACCTGCAGTTACTGGAGTTTCCAGTTAGAGGAGACACCACTGAGGTAGACGTATCAATCATTTGCCTTGGTGTAAGACAGTTCAGTGCTGCACGGACCCTTCCTAAGTAAAGGAAGGGCAGCAAAGGGTTTGAGGCTGCATCTGCTCCTTGCTGGCTCCTTGTGCTTTGGTGATCATTTGCAACATCACTCACTTTGTGCATCGGGAATTATGTCTGCTCTGCTGGTAACGCTCTGGTATTTTAGCAAAACTCTATGGTTTAATCGTATAGTTTTATCCACATCCTAGAGTGACCCTGGTTCCCCCAGCAACATGCTGACCTTCCTTCTGGGCTCACAGGAAGTGACATCAGCATGTTGGGATGCTTCTAACATCCCCCTCCATTTTGGTGCCATCCCCCCCCCCCAGTAGTCAGCTGAGTGGCAGTGGGGAGTGCCATGTGGGCGCAGGGAATCCCCCTCCCCCCACTTGGGTGTTGGGAACACAAGATGAAGCTCTACCTATCACTTTTTTGGAGGATTTTTTTGTATTTTTCATATGCGTATGAGTGTGGGTGCACCTGGAAGTCATGGTGACCTGTGGTGACTGACCTCTAGTGGGCACCTGGAGGATATTTAGAGAGGTGGCCGAATAAAGCTGGCCCCCCCCTCCCGCCTTTGGTATTTAAAAGAGGTCTCCCATCCGAATACTTGCCAGACTCGACCCTGCTTAGCTTCTGAGAGCCGATGAGATAGGGCTTGCCTGGGCTATCCAGGTCAGGGCTGTCTATCGCATTTGTATACCATCTCTTCCTCCAAGGAGCAATGTATATTTCTATATGTAATGTATGCGTACTCTCACACACACTAATCAATGCACATTCAGCCCACTTTCAGTGCTCTTTGCAACGGGATTTTGCTGTCTGAAAGGGCAAGAGCCACTTGCAAACCACCGCGGAAGCGGATCGAAACTGCATTATTCAGCATGTGTGAAAGTGCCCATATTTCTCAATTCTGTCCTCCCGACAACCCTGGGAGGTAAAATTATGCTCAGAGAGTGTGCCTGGCAAAGGGTCAGCCAGCAAACTTCATGGTGGAGCACGGATTTGAACCCGGCTCTCCTTGATCCTGGTCTGACACCCTAAACGCTGCATACCGCCGTGGTTGGCTGTGGTGGCAACATGCTTGGCAGCGGTCACGAGAGCACAGCAGGATGCGTGCCAGCTTCGTAATAAATGTAGATCCTCAGGCAAGTCAAATGCCGGATCTCCATGTCTGTGCTTCCCCTGCGCTTCGGATGGGGTGTATGCAGGGGTCATTTCGTAGAAAAAGAGGTGCAGGAGCACATTAGCATAACTTATTAGCATAACTTATTTGCATATGCCACACCCCCTGACATCACCGGAAGTGTGTCAGAAGGCAACACCCACCACTCAGGCTCCACTGGACTGTTTTGGATTGCTAGCTATTGTGGGGGGGGACGTGCAGATCTGTCCTCACAGAGGAGGGAGAGCTTGTACCTGAAGGCAGGCCGGGGGGGGGGGCCTCTGCAACTTACCTGGCTGCTTCTTGCTCCTCATGGCCCGACTGAGGGCTGCTGGGAGCAGGGGGTGGGGCTTGTTGCATGTTCCCGCCCCCTGAGCTCCTTACTGCCGGAGCTCCACTCCTGTGCGCTCCTTTAGGAAATGACCCATGAGTGTATGCCAAAAAAAGTAAGTAGCATATATGCATTTATACGCAGCCTTTGACAAAGAATTGTGAAATGTTCCGGGGATAAGAGGGCGCTGAAGACCTGTTGGAAGATTTCATTGAGGCATCCTTTATTTTTATAGAAATTTAGAAAGCACACTCCATGCCCCTAGGTGCCCAGTGTGATGTACCTGCTTTAACAAAAGGAGATGAGAAAACATAAAATGTTGTGTTTACCTGAAAAGAAATTGACCCTGAATGGAAGATGATCCCCTGGGGAAAAAAAAGGTTATCCCCCATAGGGTTTTTTAAAATAACCACCCATAACTGTAACTCCTGGGTCAGTTTAAGATTTGCCCCCTCTTTTTCTTAATGTGGAAAACACACACACACACACACCTTCATCTTCCTTCCAGGTAAACAGAGTGCAATTACAGTAAAATGCAATAAAAATCCATGGCAACAGCTGATGATGTCACCGCATTTCCAGAGAGTGACCTTAGAGCTGCCAACAAAAGCTTCTAAAAACACAAAGGAGTATTTATTTGCCGGTGGAGTAGCGTCAAGGATGTAACCAGACAGATCTCCTTTAGGAGAGGGGATTCCGCAGTCCACATAGTGCTCACACAAGAATCCGGGAGACCTGAATTCAAATCGCGACATTGGCCCAAGGTCACCCAGTGAGTTTTATGGCAGTCACACTCTCTCCCCCCTAACCTACCTCACAGAGTTCCTGCGAGGATAAAAAAGGGAAGAGAGAACCACATCAGCTAGTTTGGTATAGTGGTTAAGTGCGTGGACTCTGATCTGGGAGAACTGGGTTTGATTCCCCACTCCTCCACTTGCACCTGCTGGATGACCTTGGGCAAGCCATAGTTCTCTCAGAGCTGTTCTCTCAAGGACAGTTCTGGAAAGAGCTCTCTCAGCCCTGCCTGCCTCACGGGGTGTCTGTTGTGGGGAGGGGAAGGGAAATGAGTTTGTAAGCCGCTCTGAGACTCTGAGTGAAGGGCGGGGTATAAATCCCATCTTCTCCTCCTTCTTCTTCCCTGACCTTCTTGTAGGAAGGGCAGGATAAAAACAGCACTATACAGCTAGTGTATATGTGGCAATGGGAAATATCCTGTTTTTTTCTCCTTACCATTTTTTTGTTTGGTCAAAGGAGAATACTGACCAGAGCTTCTTTCACAAGGAATGAGGAGGAACGTACCAGAGAAGATAGTTCCAGGTTGGTAGGCCTGTTGATCTGCAGTAGAAGAGTGGGATTGGGTTAAGACGCTGAACTGCAGCCTGGAAGGTCTGTACTTTGGCAGTTCGAGACCCAAGTGCCGCATGATGGAGTGAGCTCCCATCTCTGGCTCCAGCTCCTGCCAGCCTAGCAGTTCGAAAGCAAGAAATTGCAAGTAGATAAATAGTGGGAAGGTAACAGCGTTCCGTGCACCTTGGCGTCTAGTCATGCCGGCCACATGACCACGGAAACGTCTTCGAACAGCGCTGGCTCGTCGGCTTGGAAACGGAGATGAGCACCGCCCCCTAGAGTCGGATTCGACTCGCTTTCAAGCAGAGGAAACCTTTACCTTTTTCGCACTTTAGAGACCAACATGCTTTTCGGGGTATAGGCTTTTGAGAGTCCACTCTTTGACTCTTGAAAGGTTATACCCTAGAAATCTTGTTAGTCTTGAAGGTGTTCCTGGACTCGAGTCGTGCTCTTATACTGGAAAAGCCTTAGTGTGGTGAGGTCACAGATACTAGCCATTCGGTGGTGATCACCATCAGTGGTCCCCTCCCTCCAAACTCACAAACTTGTTTTTTCTCCCTCAAGCTCATTCCAGGACATGAGAAACACATGTTCAGGATGGTGAAGGTGCTTTCAATTGACCTCTCCCAAACTGAAAAATGTTACCCCTGTCTTCTCCTGGTGGGCCGGTTTGGTGTAGTGGTTAGCAGGGGTGTCAAACAGAAGGCCCATGGGCCAGAACCAGTCCGCCCAGGGCTCTTATGCGGCCCGCGATCAACTAGTGCAAGGGAGGGAAGAAGAAGAAGATATTGGATTTATACCCCGCCCTTCACTACCCAAAGGTGTCTCAGAGCGGCTTACAGACTCCTTTCCCTTCCCCTCCCAACAGCAGACACCGTGTGAGGTAGTGCCACTGCCACAGGAAGTGCTGGCGGCTACAAGCATGGACTGCTTCAAAAGGGAATTAGATAGGCATATGGAGCAGAGGTCCATCAGT